CACTGGCAAAAGTTACCTTAAACATACTAGCGTACATAGGAATTGAACCCCGCCAGATCCCTATTTTGGCAGTATAGGTTCAAAGTCTAGGAGATATAAGGAGACCCATACCCGGCATGCCAGACATTCTCATCTCATGAGAGTTACGTTAACCTCTACCCTTTCCGAAAGAAGGCATCCCCGCTCATAGCTAGTCTATCAGTGCTTAGTATAAAGTTCCATTGCATTCAACTCATACCTCATAGAAGCTGGCTTCTAGTATGAGGACAACGTAGCTCAATAGATGATTTCTCATCACATAATTAGTATTAAGTGTATATTGCTCTCAATACTCTAATTAGAGTGTTCATAGAGACTGGTCTCTTCATTAACTTTACACTCTCATCAGTGTGTACGTTTTGGTAACATTTACTAAGGCTCATTTGAGATTGCTTTCCTCTTTTACATATCCTCTTATCATGTTGTCACTACATTCATTAACATTCGCACAATTGCTCTTCAAAACTACTCACCCCTTATTACGTTAATGTTCAATTCATCATATGCCAACGAACTTGGTCATTTAGTGTGTTTCACAATCTTTCTCAACCCTCGTAGGGTTTCATTATTTCATTGTTCATTTCATCATATCCCAATATAGCTTGACATGTAGTGTGTCTCACACTCTTACTTAGCCCTTATAGAGTTTCATCGTTTCTTTACATATATCTTAGCTTCACTTACTTTTAAACTTATGCTAAACTTATGGGTCTATACATATAAGACATGAGACTTCATTCATAGTTCGTTTAAGTGATTCATATCTTCCTAATATTATATGGTACAAGACTTATGCATCTTTTATGTATGAAAAGATCTCGGTTTTTCGATCTAAGTAGGAAGCATTATTTTTGAACATTTATTCACGTATGACTTATGTATCAATACGAAATTTGGACAAGGGAACCCAATTTTAAATCCCTTTGACAACACTTACATTTTTATTTGTTTTGGTTTGATCCACACGGCTTGAGGACCCAAGGTCGACCCCAACACCTTCATTTTAGTTTTCCTTGATTTCACTATTCATTTTTTTCTCATTGAGACTGAGAGGATGTGGGATGGAACCCCCGCAACCCCATTTACTTTTTATTTCCTTCTCTTTAATTTCTCTCCTTTTTGGCTGAGGGGGTGTGGATTCGAACCCACACAACCCCCCTTTAATTTTTTGTCCTTAATTTTCCTTGGTTCTGCCTAGAGGTCGTGGGTTCAATTCCCACATTCCTCAACCTTTTTTTTAATTTCTCCTTTAATCTGATTGAGAGGTGGTGGGTTAGAATCCCACTCCTCACATTTCTTTTTTTATTCATTTTCGGATAAAGGCACATGGTTTGAATCCCACATGCCACATTCTCTTTTTGTCATATTTCAATGACTTTTAACATGGTAAGGTCACGGGTTTGATTTTTAGTGGACTCACATATTTTGATTCATTTTTACATAGCATTATAATCCTCTTAGCTTGTCCGAAACTCATCTACAAGATGCTGGAAATTTTAACAGCACAGTTTCTCACCTCTTTCACATTAAAAGTTTAGAAATTTTAAGTAGTTTTTAGTGATTTCTTTAGGTGAATTTTCATGGATTAATTTGACAACTAGTTTGCACTCAAATCAGCATTTTTACATCACTTATCAACAGCACGATTTAATAAAGTTTGTGCACATGAAATACAACCATAAACATGTCATTTTTTGAACTTGAATCCAAGAATGTATATTAAAGCTACACATTGAACACACATCATTTTTCACTTAATTTTGGACAACATGCTCAGTATTCACATAACTACGAACATACACACATAAACATAATCATCACAAAAACACATTACATCCCTAATTTCTACCGGCAAACATACCCAACATATGATTCAATGGGAGCTAGTGACAAGGACATGCAACGAGGAACAACCCTGGTTGTCGGAATAGATTCTTCTGAACCTTAGGTGTATCTTGGGAAAGGGACCAAGAGAAAAGAGAACACATACCTTTTTGAATTTCAAAACTCCACTTGCTGCCTAAAGAACTCCTCCAAATACACGTCCAAACCAGAATCTCAACACCAAATTCGACGGAACACCTTCCCTTTTTGCCTAACGTTTTTGATTAACTTGTTTGTATATATTTTTCGTGTAAGTTCTTCAAGCATGAATAAGTTTAGTAATTTTTCAGTTCTTATAGTTGTTTAGGCAGAGAGAATGTGAATGAAAGAAGAGAGAATGATCGTGTGTTGAGATATAGACATGAGTAAGGACAGTTTTCTTAGGATTAGGAGTTTTGTTTAGGTCTTATTAAAATAAGGTTTAGTTAAATGGTAAAAATCTGATTTTTCTTGTATTTTAAATCAGAAAATAAATATTAATTAATTAAACTAATTACAAATTTAAATAAAAATAATTTAAATTATTGCTTCCACCTAGGTTCGAACCTGGGTTGAGCAAGACAGCACTTCAACGACAAATTTTCGGCCATCTTTCCCCCAAATTACCCCTCCACCTTATTAATTAGTAAATTACATATTTAGGGTAATTACGATACTACCTTTATCCTTGAAAAAGGTCATTTTACCCCTAGACCCTCCAAACTTAAAATTTCCCCCTTTTAAATCTGGTAAAGAACTCATTAGATTAAATCTTCATATTCGGGAGCCCTACATGGCTGGACCCAACCTTTCCTAGATCAACTAAATCCCGAAGTTAGTTGGCTTGGTTTTTTCAAGGGTTCAGAGTTCTGCTTCTACACGCATCAATCCGTATGAACCCAATCTAATCGTAGGCATTCTAGACACATTAAGCATTATTGAGCATAGCCACTTTTTTAGGATTTTTACATTATCCCCCCCCTAGGGAATATAACTCCCTGAATAACACTACTTACTATCTAGCGTAATGCCAGTCAGATCATAACATAAATACAATTCACAAACAAGCAATAGCAACAATGAATGGAGAGATCAGGAAACTTAGACTTAAGAGTAAGAAGTATAACTTAAGGAGCTTAAAAGGTGATGGTAGAGGGATCTCATATCGTCCTCCCTCCCACGTAGCACCCTCAACAAGGTGATTCCTCCACAATACCTTCACTATGGCAATCGCCTTGCTCCTCAGCGGCTTGATCCATCTGTCTCAAATCTGAACAGGTACCTCCTCATAGGACAAATTTCCATCAACTCCTAAACCTTTAACAAGTATAATCAATGATGGATCACCTAGGCACTTCTATAACATAGAGACATGAAAGACAGTATGAACAGAAGCTAGATCTGTAGGCAATGCCAACTCATAGGCCACCCCACCCACACGCTGTAGGATCTCATATGGCTTAACATATGTCGAAATAAACTTCCCTTTCCGGTCAAACCTCATCACCCCCTTCATAGGTGATATTTTCAAATAGACCTCGTCACCAACATCAAACTCTAATCACCCTGACCTTCTCTAAGGCCTCATGAATGATCTGTGTACCCAAGATGGATGACTCTCCAACCTCAAACCACCCAACTAGAAACCTACACCTTCTACCATACAACGCCTCAAAAGGTGTCATGCCAATGCTGGAGTGATAGTATTTATTATACGAGAACTATATCAAATGCAGATGGTCGTCCCAGCTACCTCTGAAGTCAATGACACACGCCTCAACATATCTTCCAATGTCTGAATGGTGCACTCTGCCTTCCTATCTGTTTGAGGATGAAAGGTAGTACTAAGATTCACCTGTGTGCCTAAGCTCGTCTCGTAGTATCTCTAGAAATGTGAAGTGAATTGAGCTCCTATATCTAAAATGATAGACAAAGGAATCGCATGCCATCTGACAATCACATCAATGTAGAGTCTCGCATAATCCTCGACTTTGTAAGTACACTTCACAGGGATAAAGTGGGAAGACTTAGTCATCCTATCACAATAAACCATATGGAATCATACTGTTTCCTAGTCTTCTGAAGACCAACCACGAAGTCCATATTAATGGCCTCCCACTCCCATATTAGAACTTCGATCATCTGAGTAAGACCTCTAAGCTTATGATGTTCTGTCTTAACCTGTTGACAATTAGGACATTTGGCCACGTATTCTTCAATGTCATTCTTCATGCCATCCCACCAATAGATCTGCTAAAGATCATGATACATCTGGGAGGAACCTGGATGTATGGAATATTTAGTACCATGGGCCTCTTCAATGATCCTTGCCAACAAATCATCCACATCTGATACATATAGCCTATCCTGGTAACTAAGAATGTCGTCATCTCCCAAAGCAAAAGACTCATTCATCTTAACCAACACTGAGTCCTTCGGCTCCATCAACACAATATCAAGATTTTAACCCTCATTGACTTCAACTACTATGGATGATTCAGAACTAGGATGAACAGAAACACCCCCACTAGTAGAGTCAACTAACCGCACACCCACTCTTTCTAGTCTATATATATCTTTTACCAACTCCTTCTTGTAATCCTCAACTTGGGTTTTACTTCTCATGATAATCCTAAACAAAGCATCAGCTACAAAATTAACCTTATGTTGATGGTAGTGGACATTCATGTCGTAGTCCTTCAACAGCTCCAACCATCTTCTCTGAAGTAGATTCAAATCCCTCTGTGTGAACACGTACTGGAGACTCTTGTGGTCTGTGAACACATCCACATGCACCCCATACAAGTAGTACCTCCAGAACTTCACTTCAAACACCACAGCTTCCAACTCAAGGTCATGAGTGAGATAATTCTTTTCATGAACCTTGAGTTATCTGGACACATGAACTATCACCTTACAACCCTACATAATAACACAATCCAAACCAACCCTAGATACATCATAATACACAGTGTAATTCTCACCAAACATAGGCAAAGTAAGCACTGGGGCTGAAGTGAGTCTATCTTTGAGCTCCTAGAAACTCTTCTCACAAGCCTCCATGCATTCAAAGTTGGCCTTCTTCTTAGTCAAAGTTGTCAATGAGGTAGCAATGGAAGAAAAACCCTCCAAGAACCTGATCCCAAGAAGCTACGAATATCTGTGGGAGTAAGAGGTTTTGCCCAGTTCTTAACAACTTTATTCTTCCTGGTATCTACGTCTATATCTTTGTCAGACACAACATGACCCAGGAAGTCACTAATCTAATCCAGAATTCACACTTGCTGAATTTGGCATACCACTGGTCTTCTCCAAGTACTTGTAAGATTAGTCTCAAATGTTGTTCATGCTCTTTCTTGGTCTTATAGTAGATTTGAATCTCATCAATGAATACTATGACAAAGGAGTCAATACATTCACGGAAGACCCTATTCATGAGATCCATAAATGCAGCAGGTGAATTCATGATACGGAACGACATAAATAAGAAATCTTAATGACCATAACGGGTACGAAAGACTTTCTTTGGGATATATCCATCCCTAACCCTAAATTGATGGTACCCTGAACGAAGATCAATCTTTGAGAATAAACTAGACCCTTGGAGTTGGTCGAACAAGTCATCTATTTTAGGAAGTGGATAGTTATTCTTAATAGTGAATTTGTTGAGTTGCTTATAATCGATACACATTCTAAGGGTTCCATCTTTATTTTTCACAATATACATTGGATCTCCCCTAAGGGATATGCTCGGCTGAATGAAACCCTTATCAGTGAGATCTTTTTAACTCCAGCTTCAACTCTTTGAGTTCAGCAGGAGACATTATATAAGGACGAATTGAAATTGGTAAAGTGTTGGGTTCTAAGTCGATACCAAAGTCAATAACTCGAAGGGGAGGAACTCCAAGCAAATCATTAGAAAATACATCTTAGAACTCTTTTACTATAGGAACTAAGTCTATGGAAGGAACGTCATGATCAAAATTAATAACACTCACAAGATGACACAATAACCCCTTAGACATCATTTTACTGGCCTTAAGATTCAAAATCAAGGGATTAGGACGACTTGAGTTGTACCCCTCCCAAACCAGCTCTTCTTAATTAGGGAAACAAAATCTCACAATCCTACTATGATAATCTATGCAATCATAACAACTATGAAGCCATCCCATACCAAGAATAACATCAAAATCACGCATGGGTAACTCAACCAAGTTTGCACACATAGTCTTACCACATACAACTATTGGGAAATCCTTGTATACTCTATAAGTTCTTACATTCTCTCCTAAAGGCGTACTAACCAGTATAGGTCATGCAGAACTTCAAGAAATATCTCAAAAGTGTTAGCAAGCAAAGGAGTTATAGAGGAAATTGTAGACCATGTATCAAGTAAAGCGTAAACAGAAGTTGATAATACTTGCAGCATACCTGTGAACATATTAGTGGACTTCACCTGCTCCTCCCTGCCCTTAAGGACGTAGAATCTGTTCCTCTTACAAGGCTCGACTGCTGCTGTATCCTGTGGATTAGGCCTAGGCTGAGCATTACCTCCAGCCTGACCTCTTTTCTGTGAGCAGTCCTTAATAGTGCTTGCATGAATAGACTAGCATAAATTTAATGATACCCCGTCCATTATAATGCTTGCATGAATAGATTAACATAAGTTGAATGTGATGGCTCTAAATATGACATAAATAGGCACCCACTGCATAACCATACACTAAAACCTTAACTGGGACTTTGATAATATAATAGTGCAACGTTGTGCTAAGAGAGTGTGAGGATATTCGAGTTTTCAACTATAGGTGCCTAAGTAGAACATGTCTTATCGGTCCTTCTTCGAAGGGAGTCTAACCTAGAAGTTAGGAAGTGATCATAGGACCTTGTTAGAAATAGCCAATATCTAGCTTAAAATAAGTTGACCAAATGAAATAATTGTCTCTTTTGATCCAATCATGCTGATATTGTAAATAGACTAATTTTGTTATTCACCAATTCACATTCCCAGGGTCTAATCTTTTGTCCCCACTCCTTTCTAGGATATGCAATCACTGACTTAGTCTAAAAGCCTAAGTTGAGGGTGGATAATCAAAAAGTAAACTCATCATGTCCTTCAACCTACCTCAAGTATTGTGTATGTCAACTTATGCCAAATCATGAGTTGATGGAGGCTATTGTGGGAGAAGGCCTAAAAATGGGTGTTAAAGAAGAGTAAAAATATATAAAAGAAGTGAAAGAAGCGAAAGTTACATCTAAAAGGGCACTAAGGCAAAGGAAATAAGAAAACCAAAAAAGAAGGGGTCAAAAACAATATAAAGAGGTTGAAGGCTTAGATTTGATCTCAAGGAGCGAAAAAATTCACCAAATGTACCAAACCTAACCCCGACCGTAAGTTAGAAGACAAGAAATTTCTATCGAGATCCTAGAGTATAGTGTGGTGAACCTAAGCAGCAAAAATAAGGGCAAGCCTATGGCGTAGAAAACTGATTCTAGTTGAGCTTTTTCGTGAGTGTGACTATTGAAAAAAAGATTCTTTTACCCCAAATTCATAATCATTATGTGAAAAATGAGGATTTCTTTTGAAGTGAGGGCATTAGTTGCATTATGAGAAAGCTGGTACCTTGGTGATGGGAAAAACAATATAGGTGTTTGTCGCACGGTAAATCTGTGTCATGATGTGATGTGTAAGAGTTAGATGGTTGAGTCTGAGTGAGTAGGAATTCACTCAATCAATAAAGTGTCTATATGGATGGTCATGTGATTGCTAGAGCTTTAAAACGTATACTTTTGTACAAGTGTCATTTAAGATCATAGTGCGTCGCTTAAGGAGAAATAACAAATATACGTTGAGGGTGTTGATGTGTCGTGATTTCAAGACATTTCTAATTCATTTAACTTAAAGTTTGTGTGTGTCTAAAGCCTTTTGTAATAATTTTAACAAGTTTTGTCTCTTGCTTTGCAGGAAATATGTTCAGGTGGCAAAAGAAGAAAACAATTGAGAATAGTGCAGAACCATACCTATGGAGGCAATCAACAGTCACTCGTTCAATCGAGGAGCCATAGGTGTGAGCGTATATGAGAAGATCGGTACATCAAAGGAAAAGAAGCAATGTAATACTAAGTATGGAAACAAAGGAGGCAACGACAGTCCGTCGATTGATCGATGCACCATACTAGTGAACCACTGTTTGGTTTAGAGAAGGTTCCAATACCTAATTTTGGATATTCTAAGTATGGAGATATGAAAGATCATGGACGGCCCGTAGATTAGTTGACAGACCAAACTTTTGTTCCATCTTTTTATTTATAAAGGATGCCATCCATAGAGGTGAAATAGTTCTAAATACAAAGTGAGAAAAGCAGACTACAAATAGTCAATTGATCAACTGTTCGTCTGTTGGTTCATCGATTGAAGTCGTGTACCTGAAGAAAGATTTTCTTATTTCAATTCCTTTTTCATTATGACTTTGTTTTCTATATATAATGTATTAAAACCCTTTTTTGGGCTAGCTACTAATACTATTATTATACTTTATGGATTGGAGATTCATTTTCGTACCTTTTGCAAATAATTAATTTCCAGATTCGGTTTGAAGAATTATTTTTTCAATTACAAGTTGGATTTCTAGGTTTATTCTTATTTTTTTAGTAAGTTCTTGATTTCTTCATCTAAAACTATGAATTGTGATCTGGTTAGCATGGGTAACTAAATCTACAACTAGGGTTGTGGGGACAATGGGTAATTAACAATGTAATCTTAGTTAATAATCAATTCATGAACAATTCTTGAATAATGTTTTTGCATACACTGATAATTCTTTCGTTTAGAAATATTTGTAACGGTGGCCAACGTAAAAACTTACCTTTCTGCTACTTGCCGGACCAAGGAGGTAGTTAATAACAAAAGAATTATCAAAATAGATATAGTGTAATACAATATGTTGATTGGTGCAAAGTAATAATTATGTCATACATTCATTATGATGTCTAATATGAGGCAATGGTAAGAGATAATAAAGCATACACACATAGTCGGACGAAAGTGCGAGGTGAAATTCTCTAGATGTCGGACCAAAGATTTAGGGATACCCAACTTATTGCTTTGCATTTAATACACTAGAAAGGGATTGCTATTGCTAGGGATACTCAGTTATGAACCTGTGGGGAACACATATACCCTATTTACTTTCTCATCTTGATAACAACCAAAGTCTACTTTTGGTCACATGTTAACTATACTATTTAAGAACTTTGTTTCACAAAACCCCCATTTTTCTTATTTGTTTTGAAAAGACATGGACTAAATATATAGAATTGTGGGTTAAAGTTAGATCTAAACCATTTTTCTCATGGGATCGACCCGAACCTACAGGTTTGACTCTTTATTTGATAACGATCGCTTATACTTCGTTAGGGAGGAGTAATTTTAGCGCATCACAAATTTCGCAATATATTTTTTCATGCCTTACCACCAATGTACCTCTCTCAAATCGCGGTACATCTTGGTGGAACTCAGATGAATGGAATATCTGGAGCTATGAGCCTCCTTTAAGATTCTCTGTTGGATTCCTTCCACCCTAGGTACACACAACCTTCCTTTATACTTTAGAACATCATATCCCCATTGTTCAAAAGCTAATACTCTTTGATTATGAGCATTTGCCTTCAAGTCAATCGAAATGGAATCTTGGTCTTGTTTCTCTTTTACCTCAGACACTAGTGAAGATTCAGACCCGTTGTTCACCACTATCCCTCCTTCTGTGGAATCCAAAAGTTTGACTCCTATGAGTAGAAGTCTGTACAGCTTTAGAGTAATCCCTCTTTTCTTCCTCAAAAGGGGAGGTACTCCCCATGGATAACCTGCTTAACGCATCAGCAACCACATAAGCCTTACCTGTGTGGTAAAGAAAATTCATATCTAATCCTTGAGTAATTCTAACCACCTCCTTTGTCTGAGATTTAGCTCCTTCTAAGTGAACACATACTGGAGGCTTTTGTGATCAGTGAATGTGTCAACACGAACACCATACAGGTATTTCTGCCATACTTTCAAAGAAAACATTACCTTATTCAAGTCTAATACATGAGTCAAATAATTATTATCTGGAGGCATAATCTATAACCTTGCCATTCAGCGTTAACACACAACCGAACCAACTTTCGATGCATCACAATACACCACAAAACCTTGAGTACCCTTTGGGTAAGGTCAAAACTAGAGCGGTAGTTAATATCTTTTTTAATTGATGAAAGTTATTCTCATAAGCTTAATACAATTGAAACATAAATGTCTTCAGAGTTAGCCTTGTCAAAGGAAACGAGATAGATGAAAAACCTTCAAAAAATCTCCTCCAATAGCCAGCCGAACCTAAGAAACTCCTTATATCTATTAGAGATGTGGGTCTAGGACAACTCTGAATTGTTTCTATCTTTTGGGTGTCATCTCTAGTCCCATCACCAAAAACAATGTGGCCCCAGAATGCCATAGACTTTAGCCAAAACTCACACTTGGAGAACTTTCCATAAAGTTCTTTATCTTTCAAAGTCTGCCGAATAAATGTGAGGTGACTAACATGATCATCTTCATACCTTGAATAAACAAGTATATTATCAATGAAGACGATGAAAAACAAATAAAAATAAGTTTTAAAGACTATGTTCATAAGATTCATGAATGTTGCTGGTGCATTTGTTAAACCAAAGGAAACAACTAAAAACACATAATGCACATACTTGTTTTAATGGTTGTCTTTGTAATGTCACATTCCCTAACATTCAACTGATGGTAGAATGTTCTGAGATCAAGTTTTTTGAAGCAATAAGCACTCTGAATATGCTCAAAAATATCATATATACTTGGAAGAGAATACTTATTCATCATGGTCAGCTTATTAATTGGCGGTAGTCTATACACATCCTAAGGGAACCATCCTTCTTTCTTACAAATAAGACTGGAGCGCCCCAAGGTGAGATACTTGATCGGATAAAACTTTAATCTAATATATATTTCAGATACTCTTTCAACTCTTTAACTCTACTAGTGTAATTTTATATTGTGGAGTAAAGATAGGACGAGTATCTAGAATTATGTTTATGCCGAAGGCTTTCTCTTTTTCAAGAAGAACTGTGGGTAGATCATCAAGGAAGACTTCTAGAAACTCTTTCACTATAGAAATTGACTGAAGGGAAGGTACCTCAGCACTTGTGTCATTAACTCAGACTAAGTGATAGATACACCCCTTTGAAACTAACTTTCAAAATCTACTATGTCTAACTCTACTAGATCAGTCATGGTGTTCCTGTGATTGATTGAAATAGGACAATCACAACAGACTCTTTCCACTAGAATAGACTACCCAATAGGTATAGACAGACCAAAGGGTTCACAATTATTTTCAAGAAGAATCTCAAACTGATTTTCTACATAAGAAGTTACAAAAGAAAAACAAGCTTTTGGGTCTATAAAAGCATAAGAATCAAAAGTAAAGACTTTGATCATACATGTGACAACATCTGGAGAGTTTTCTTGCTCTTCACTGCTAGTGATTGCATAGATTCGGTTTTCCCCTTCTTGAAGCACCAAAAGTGTCTCCTTTAGGTGCTGGTGGAGCAACTGATAAATATTGTGCTCTATTTCCCAGATTTCAACCTCCTTTGTTATTCTTAGGACACTCTTTAGTGTAGTTCCCCTCTTAATCACATTTGAAACAACACGAATGGCCATCACGGCACATACAAGTGTGGTTTCTACAACACCTACCACATGTAGGTGTAAACTACCTCCGTGTGACACACTACTTAGGGAATGGGCTAGTCTAGCCTTAATGTTCTGCGAATTCTGTCCATTCTACTCAATTATGTTTCTGGGCGCAGGTGCACTAGCAGATGATGGTATATACCACTTTTGTTTCTAAAATAGGGATCGTTTTGAAACATACTTATGTTGACAAGAATCTTCCCAATCTTAACTTTCTTATTCCTGTACTCCTCTCTTTCCCTCAGCTTTTCTTCTTCAACTTGTTGCATATAGACAATTAACCTTGGAATGTCCATGTCCCCAATAAATATTGCATCCCTACATTTTTTGCTTGAAGCGCGACCCAAGCAAACAATAAACAAGCTCATTTTATTTCTCATATTCTTAACCATTTTGGAGAATAGTGACATGGTTGGGTGAACTTAAGCCATACTCATGAACACTCAAAGAGTCCAGTTTCAAAGTAAGGAACTTTTGTACGTTTGCTTCTTTCAGTTCTCGAGAAAAGAAACGCCCCAAGAAATCTTATTCAAAGCAAACCCAACTTGGATGTGGTGCATACTCATCTCTATTCTCCTTCCACTCATCAAACCAAGTCCTAGCCACATTCTTCATTTGATATGCAGCCAGTTCAATTCTCTCAGAATCTACCTCATGAATCACATCGAATACCTTCTTTAATTCTTCTACAAAGTTTTCCGGATCCTCAGTGGTGCTTGAACCAACGAAGCTAGCAGGATTCACTCAGAAACTCACGAATCCTTGAGGTGTAAGCCTCTTCCTGTCGAGCTCTTCTATGTTGACTAACCTTTTTAGTCACCACTTTGCTTAGGGTCTTGATAATCTCATGGAACTCAACATAGGTAACTTCCAGTTGAGGTTGCACTTCAAGTGCATTAGGTACAACCGGTTTCTCTACATTTTCTCAGGCTGGACGACCCCTGACTGCTCTTCGTGGAGGTGTGACAATTTGAAACATGCATAAGCATGAATAAGATGGAAACTTTTTAGAGATAAACTCTAAAGCACGAACTGAGTATGAAAAAAGGGAGAAATTCCTAAATGTTGTAGTCTGTTAACCATTTATGTGGCACGCTTCACACAGATGACTAAGACTCTACATACATGACTTCATAGACTCCCTAATACTCTTGAACTCTTTGTTTTGATACCAATTTTGTCACACCTAGAGCCTATACACTTCACGTGGCTGACACCCAATGACCATTGCTGGCCATGAGCGAACCATTGGTCTGGCTTACATAAATCATCGAAATACATAACTTAACTCAAATATAAAGATCGAAACATTCCCATGAAAAACACTTTAAATAATAGTCTTGGACAAAATGCTACTATTTGTAAATAATTAAGAGTGAACTTACTTTTTGCTCTGCTCAACTCAACAAGTCATAACTTAATAAAGAAGTAATACACATTGAACATACATACATATATATATATACATACATATATATGTATATATGTATGTGTGTGTGTATATATATATATATATATATATATATATATATATATAACTTGTAAAACAGTGTAAACACTTAGTTTATTAGATGTAATGCAATATAAACTCAACTTTACTTATATATGAAAGTAATATAGTTTCTATGGGAGATTCTCTAATAGACAACCATCACTACGATCCTAAGTGATGGTACAACGTCTTACCTCACGTTGGAAGAGGATCGCTTTGTACCTTGCCGTCGGTATAAAACCTGAACTTCTAAGTGAAAGAACGAGTCTATGCTAAAAAGAACTAAGAAATCATCTAAAAAGTATGATCCTCTATTGTTCATGCAGGCTACATGGTTTGTGGAGACTTGAGTTGATATGAACTTTCATCCCCATATCGGTGCTCAATAATACTCCCAAAGTACTTAGATCATATGTTTCTAAAACAACTTCTTCTCTAGAGGTAATTTGTCAAACTTATCTTTAAAACCTCTCTTGGAAATCATAGTTCCCATTTTCTAAACTAGCCAAAGGCTGTGTTGAATTCTTGCTTCCTTTTTTTCTCAAAATGTGAGAAAAATTTATACTCTTAGGGACTACTTAGTTCCCTTATATCTTTTGAGAAATGAACTCACTCTTAGCACTTTTCTTTACTTGAAACATAATTGTTGGGGAACTTTAAGTACCCTTGTAACTTTTGAGATTTAAACTCAACTCATTACTCTTTCCTCAACTTGTAGCTTGAGTCTTAAAACAAAGTAGAAATATGTGTTTAAGACTTGAAAACTTTAAGAACTCACTTTGACTTGCTTCTTAACTTTTAGATTTGACTCTTAACTCTCTTGACTTTGATCTAACTTTTCTTGAATTGGATTATGAATTCAAGGACCATGATCTCATGTTTATGGATGATTTCATAATTTTTAGATGTACTTTAGAGTGTTACAATCAACTAGGAATTGTAGGTACATCACGTAGGAACTCTTATGAAAAATATGGGAGGGGAAATAAGATCTCCATATGACCCAGGCGCTTTGAGAGAAGCAGGGTACCAGGCCTGGCTGGCAAAGATTGTCCTGAGGAGCTCTGGATGGCACCACGTGCCCGGCTATGTCAGACAGAGGTTGCCCTGAGAGTTCTCGCAGGCGCGCCGCCCAAGTTCCTATCACACAAGATTTTTGACTTTTCTTCTCAAACTTCAATTCTAATCTTTCCAAACTCTCATGGATATCACCTAAAAAAGTGAGTATCACTAAAATCCTCAATATTCAATAGTATAGACTCAAAAAATATCTCAGAAACACAAATCAGACAACGCAAGGTATACTACAAACTCAACCAACAAGAATTCAATGGTTTTTCATCAGGAACTTCAATGTTCATTATGCAATTAACTATAGTTGCGCTGAATTAAACATACAATTGTGTGGGTGAAAGAGCCCATCATAGAAATATCTCACATACCACAGAGGAATCATCTAAACGAAACTCACTCAATTATCTTGGCATTCTTGACGAAATCTTGTTCTTTTCTCCTTTCTCCTTCTTCTCTTCTGTTTTCTCCCAAGCCCTAAGCGTATTCAATCTTCTAAAGACTGACTTAAGGCTTAATTTCACCCCTAATAAACCATTAAAACAAATTAGGAAATTGTAGGGTGGAAAGACTACTTTACCCTTACTAAATTCGGGATTGGATTTTCCTTAATTCAACAGGCCAACTTTAAATAGGCATATCTCCCTCATACGATACGAAAATTACACAAACTCAGCAGCTTTAAAAAGATATCTCTAAGGTCCTTCCAACCATATAAAAAACTGACCCTAACTCATCATGATCTAGAAGTTATTATTGTTTTAAAATGACCAAAAACTTACTTTTACACTTGGGAAATTTTATAGATTTCTCATATTCTTTCCAAAAATAACTATTCTTAAGTTTCATTGATTAATCCTTGGTATTTTGTTTTACAAGATATAACAACAACAACCATTACTATGAGCCTGAGTGATGGTGCATTGTTTTACCTCACGCTGCCGAGGGTTATCCTATACCTTGCCATTAGTAAGGACCTTACTTAAATTAGTCGATTCACTATCTTAAGTTAACTGATCATATAAAAAGTATGATCCTTTAATGCCCATGATGGCTTCATGGTTTATGGATACTTGAGTTATTATGAACTCGCATCCCCATATCGAAGATCAATAGTACTCTTTACTCCTAACTTAACTTCAAACTTGAATCTTAAAAATAAAGATAAAATGTTGCTAAAGTCTCTTGAAAACCTTTAAGAACTTTTCTTTGACTTGATTCTTAACTTCTAGACTTGACTCTTAACAACTTTGACTTTGATTTTAATTTTCCTTCAAATAGATTATGGATTCAATGTTCATAATCTTATGTTTATGGATTATTTAATAATATTTAGATGTACCTTTGAGTGTTGGAATCAACTAAGAATCATAGGTACATCACTTAGAAACTAGTACAGAAAGAGGGGGGAGAATGGGGAGAACTGGCGTCCCTAGCGCATTGAGAGGCGCGTGGCGTCAGCCCTCAGAACTCTGAGAGAAGGCTAGGGTTCTCTGTCTAGTGCAGAGCCCCAAGGCTGTATGGACAGAGATTTTCATTTTGGGATCTGAGAGGTGCGATTATCCAACCCCTATCCCCAGGTGTTATGGACTTTTTCTTTCGTTTTTCATCTCTAAACTCTTTAAAATTCCATGGTTCTTTACCAAACACTTAGGATCATTATTACTATCAATACACAGTAGATTCTACCTAAAATTACACCCAGAAAAATGAATCAAAACTTCAATAGCACACCCATCAAAAAATTCAATGTAAATTTTAACAATGTTCTTCAAGAGCTCAATTTCTTAACATTCAAATGGCTCAGATTCGCTGAATTAAACAAGAATGTTGTGTGGGTGAACTAACCTACAACTATGTTATCGCACATACCTTTTTAGGGATCACCACCAATGAATTCCACACGCAAAGCTTGAATGTTCTTGGCAAATTCTTGGTTTTCTCCTGATTTCTCTTTTCTCCAAGACCTATGAATTCTAAATTCTTCTAAACTTAATGGAGTCTTATATTACACCAATTAAACCCTAAAAGCAAATTAATTAAATTGGGTAAGGAAAAGACAACTTTTCGTATCACAAATCTAGATAGGATTTCCTCAATCCAATAGTCCAACTTTTGAAAGGCATAACTCACTCATACGATATCAAAATCGCGCAAATTTAGCGGCGTTGGAAATCTTTTTCTAAGGTATTTCAAACCATATCTAGAACTACATCTAACTCAATCTAGGGTAGGAGTTATGGTCGTTCGAAGATAACCAAAAACTCACATTTAACTTACATAAAAATATCCAGATTTCTTTATACTTTCCAAAAGTAACTATTTCAAGATTTTTATCTTCTTTCTAGTTGCGAGATGTTACATAAACTAATTAAACACAATAATAAATTTATGAATTTTGTAT